GGTATTCCCAGTGTTAGCTGCTTTCTATGAAGCACTTTCTGGGTGCCTGTGCACTGTGCTGGCTGTTCTGCACACGTTATCTTAGTTACCCTTTACAATAGCCTTGAGAAGAGGGTGGTATTATCCTTTTCTAGTGGAGGAAATTGAAGTTCACAGTTAGTAAATGGCAAGGCAGGTCTTTTAAATTCCTAAGCTGGGCCTCTTTTTCACTATTGAAAGCTGCCTTCCAAAAGGGATTTAAAGCTGACTTCAGAAGCCAGAAGTGTACTAGCCTAAGATCCTCCAGCACACGAATGACCGTTGTGCAAACTTTTTCCTCTCTTCCTGGTCTGGTCAGGTTGGGTGTTTCATTAAGCCCTGGCCTTCAAAGAGCCTTGCACATGGATACCAAAGCCAAGCTCCCCCTGGTGCAGCCAGTTGAATAATATTAGTCCTTAAAAGCCTGACTTAACCCAGGTTGGGCATCTCCCTATGCCCTCTCAATGATAGTGTCCACTGGACACACTGATGTTCAGTCTGTGCCTAGCTGATCTGAGAGTTGTTGATGAGCCTGGTAGTTGATCATCTCACCAGAACGAAAAGGCGGAGTTCTCGAGGGTGGGATGTTGGAAGAGACATCTTTCTCTCCTGTGTTACCAGCTTATCTTGCCACTTAGGCTCAGCATCTCCACCCTAGGCATTGGTATGTAGGCTTAGGGGGTTCTCTTAGATTCTCATTTTATGCCTTTGAAATCCAGAGTGGGTGGGTGTTCCCCTCAAGGGAAGGCGACAAGGTCTTCTGCTCTTTCCACATAGTGCGCCGCAGAGCTCTACACCCAGAACGTGCCACGGACAACCAAAGTGACAGCGAAGAGGAACTTGCTGCCTTCTGTCCTCAGGTATCTTGCATGTGGAAGCTGTATCACTGGCCAGTTTTTTTTTTTAAGCTCCCTTTTTAACCATCTGGTGCCCATGTATAGATAGTAATCAGGTTTTTAAGCTCCTTGTGTGTTCTCGAAGACCCCACCTTCTTTGTTCCCAAGAGCAGTGAGGAGAGAAGCTAGTGTTTATTCGGACTTTGTATGTAGATCTCAACTTGAGCCTGGTGACCAGCACATCCTCTTCCATGTCTCCTTTTAACCCTTAACCATCATGGCAGAACTTCTGGAACTGGCGTGATCATCTTTTAAACAGCCCGCCTTAGGTCAGGCAGTGTGTGTATCCTCCTGGCCACCTGTGAAAAGTATTCTCTGGATCAGTTACTTGTTTAAGAGGAAGTGGCTGGTTGATACCCAAGACTGCTTCCTTTCCTGGGCTCAAGATTGATGAATAAGGGTGTTTTCCCTGGGGGAGCAGCCTAAAAGGGGTCAGGAATTTGAAGTCCCAGCCTATGCCTGGTTACACTGCTGGCCTTTAGGGTCAGCTCACTGGTAAAGTAACTGGGGAACTGTTACACCTGTTCCTAATGGCATCATCTCTTCAGGCTTGTTGGTCTTTTCTTTTCCTAAGCTGGATGATTCTACTGTTGCCAGGGAATTGGCCATCACAGACTCTGAGCACTCAGATGCTGAGGTCTCCTGCACAGACAATGGCACATTCAATCTTTCACGGGGCCAAACACCTCTAACAGAAGGCTCTGAAGGTGAGAGGAAGCTTGGACAGTTGGAAGTTGGCAGTGGCTCTGTTGTCTCTTAGCTTCCCGGGCAGCAGGGATAGTGCCTCCTCCCCTCCTGCTTTCTGAGCTGTGGATCAGGTGGCCATGCAGCCTTAGGGGTATGGCTCCAGCCAGGATGGTACTGCTGTTCTCCTAGAAATCCTCAGCCCCTTAGTAGCCTCAGGTTTTAGACTCTCGGGGGACATAGTGGAGGAAGAAAGGGGAAATTCTTTGCCCAGTAGAGACCACAGCAGTCTTTAAGTGGAGGGGGAAGGCCGACCAGTGCCAGAAATCCAGAGTGGAAAAATTGGTTACATGGGGGTGACTTTGTGGAGTTGCCATGTCTCAGACACTCCTCTGTTCTTCCAGACCTAGATGGTCACAGTGACCCAGAGGAATCCTTTGCCAGAGACCTTCCAGACTTCCCTTCCATTAATGTGGATCCTGCTGGCCTGGATGATGAAGATGATACCAGTATCGGGATGCCCAGCTTGATGTACCGTTCCCCACCAGGGGCCGAGGAGCCTCAGGGCGCCCCTGCCGGCAGGGACGAGGCTGCACTGCCAGAGCTCCTGCTTGGTGCCCTGCCTGGAGGATCCAACCTCACCAGCAACCTTGCTAGCCTGGTCTCCCAGGGCATGATCCAGCTGGCCCTGTCAGGGGCCTCCCAGCCAGGCCCTTCTGGCCTACCTCCCCGGAGAGCAACAAGAGGCTTCCTCCGGGCCCCCAGTTCAGACCTGGACACTGATGCTGAGGGGGATGACTTTGAACTTCTGGACCAGTCAGAGCTGAATCAGCTGGACCCTGCCAGTTCCAGGAGCCACTGAGGCAGACTCCCCTTGGGGGTCACTGTGGTTTAGGTTTTTTCTCCCCATTCCACTTAAGGTGAAGGGGCAAGGGAAGAACCCAGGTTCCATCCCCTGAATTATATTTGTATGCTCGGTGGCCTGGCTGATGCTCGGTGGCCTGGCTGATGCTCAGAGGCTTGCTAAGAGAGGATACTCACTCCCCTGCTACCAGCTGGGTGCCCATTTCTGAGCTCAAGTCACTGAAGTGAGAGTGTGCTCCCTGAGGGACACTCTCTCCATCAGGGTGGTGGTACTTTTGGGGAGCAAAGTAGTCAGGGGTATTGGTTCCCTTTTGAGAGGATGCTACTGTGTGCTTCTAGGTATGGGTGCTCAGTGGCCCTCAGTGATAGATCCTTTCCCTTCCTTCATCATCTCCCTAGAGCTTCAAGTCAGGCAGCAGCTGGAAGAGTTCCATTGTTATCCTCTTGTGCTAAGCCATGATTTGATCTGTCTTTTTCTAATCAAGCTTGTCCTTTGGTTCTGCAGAGCAGGCCTGCTCCCTCTGCCCCAGCCCATCCTCATTTCTTGAGGCCTAACCCCCAGTGCTCCAAAATATTGTTTGTGAAATTTAAGAAATGTGAACATGAGGTGGGAGTGGGCCTCTTCTGCATTACCTTGGGCCATGGGGTCAGCTGGCTGGGAGGGTGAGTGCCTCCATATCTCATGGTCTCACTGAATCTTTTGGAGCTGCCTGGTTATCTGTGGTGCTGCTAACCCCTGGCTCCATTTGCCTATCAGCCTGAGCAATGAGCAAAGCAATACCATACCATGCCCATTTCCATGTTCCTGTTCCTTCTGCTCCTCCTTTGGAGAAGCAATAATTCCATGGGCAGTGTCAGAGTAGCACTTTACAAACGGCTCAGTGGCATTCATCCCAGGAGCCACCAGCTCTTCTTGCACCAGCTATTGTCACTCCCTATTCAGCTCCTTTAATACTTTTATTTTCAACTGCTTCCCGATTTGGCAGGGCCTGTTGTAAGGATGAGCCCAGTTAGCAAGAATGTGTCTATAATCAGCAGAGCCCCCGTAAAGGGGTATCTGTTTTGCCCCTAGTGAAATCATGTGAGAAAAAACTAAAAAATGGTAATTAGATCTAAACCTGTGCCTCCCCAGTCAAAGCTTAAGCCAGACTCTTCTATTCTCTTTCCCTCTGCGTTAACCCTTTGCTGATCCTCAGGGACCACTCCCCCAACACCCCCATACCTGGGTGAGAGATGTTGGACAGAGCCCATTTTCATGTGCTGCAGGTGGGAGTGTGCTAATATGTTTGCTCTTGGTTGATGGATAGAGTAGAGGCCAGGGTGAAAATAGCCAACAATGAGACGGGAGAAGAACTAGGTGTCTGATTCATAGTCAGTTCCCTTTGTATGAAGTTAGGGTAATGGCCTCTCCCCACTTTAGGGTTCTCAGACAGACCGTGTACACCTCTCTTCTCGGAGCCCAGATGTCTTACAGGTGAGCTCTGATGTGGAAAAAAACAGGAGGTGTGGGATTTTGTGTGTTTGCATGAGTGTGTGTAGCATCAGTTCTTGGGAGTTGGTAAGAGGGAGGGAAAGAAGGAGAGCAAAATCTTGGGACGGTGTTTCCTGAACGTGCAGATCCTGCTCTGAATCTCCTTAGTCCTCCACTGTGAATTGGGATGGGGATGAGGGTGGGAGGGGTGCTGGAGAATAAATCTTGTATGAGAACAATCTTTAAGAGACATGTTGAATGGTATCTTACCCTTGATAGGTCTTTTCTTGTTAATCTGAGGTGTGATTAATTTGAGGAGGTGACAGCCTCAAAAGAGGAAGCCCTTTGTGAGGGCTGTCTGTGTGACTCTGTTTTTCCTTTGTTGGTCAGAACAGTCATCATGGTGTGAGGCCACTTCCCCTCCCCAGGAAAGCTCAGACGTGCGTATAACTGGCACTCCTGGCTGCATCAAGCCTGCAGCTCCATCATTTTCAATTATATTGTCCCCTAAACACGTGAAGACAAGTACTGGTTTCAAAGGCTAGTGAGGTTTTAGGTAAGAGGTTTTAAAAAGTAGCACCATGCCTCTCTGGATTGTTTGAGGGGCAGGAACAGCTGCTCTTTGGCCTTCGGCTGACCTCAAAAACTAGAAATACTTATTTCAGGTTTTGTCCCATTGGCCACTGTGGGCAGGAGTGGAAAGCACCTGCCAGGTGTTGCCATAAGATTGTCTCAGCCAAAAGGAAACTTTTCTGCAAACTTTGTGGCTTAAGAGCAGCCCACTCCCGACCCTCCCTTCAACTACGGCATGTGTTGAGCGCCCCCTGTGTGCTAAGCTCGGTAACGGGCAATTAAGGGCCTCGTTATTCTTTCCAAGGCGCTTACGCGTTGTACTGGGTTTTCACAACCCCCTCCTGAAAGCACCTGTTCCTGTTTAACAAATGTTAAGACTAACCGACAGAAAGCCTCGGGCCATTGGACAGAACACGTCTCTGTGGGTAACTGGCCCTGTGACCTTGAGCAAGTCGCTTGCCCAGCAGATGATGCTGCTGGATTTCTTCCCGTTCGAACACTCGGCCTAGCTCAAGGTCACGAGTGCTCAGCGCCCGCTGAAACTGGGTACCGAAACTTCAAGGCATGATTCCCTACAGTCTTGTTCTGAGGCGGGAAGGGAGAGGTTCGAAGCGCGCCCCAAACCCCGCAACAGAGACCCGGGCCCGATCCGGGTTCCCTAGCTCGTGGCGGACGTGAACTACGGTGCCCGGGGAGGTCCGCTCCCCTCCTTGCCAAGGTTTCTCTCCGCCAATCACCGCTTGAGGCCCGCCCTGCGCCTCGCCGGAAGGCGACGTTGCCCGAGCAACTGCAACTTCCGGTTTTCAGAGTCTGGCGGCGGGAAAGGCCATGAGTAAAGGCCGGGCGGAAGCCGCGGCGGGAGGTAACGGGGCCGTGGGCGCGGGGAGACTCGGTAGGAGGGAGGACAGGGGTCGGTTGAGGGCCCCCCCACCTGCCTTGTCTCTCTCGGTTAGCCCCCGGGATCTTGCTGAGGTACCTGCAGGAGCAGAACCGGCCCTACAGCGCTCAGGATGTGTTCGGGAACCTGCAGCGGGAACACGGACTGGGCAAGGCGGTGAGGACCCTCTCCGGGGATTCCCCACTTTGGGACCCCCTCCAGTCAGCCCGGGCTCCTGGCCTCTCGAGGCTTCCATTCTAACCTTGAGTTTTTAAGGCTCTTTTAAGGTTCTGCCCCCATCACTGTTGAGATTCCTCCGCTCGGGCCCCAAGTCACTCCCCCGACGGCTCCGTCCCCTTCCCTCTGCCAGGCGGTGGTGAAGGCTCTAGAGCAGCTGGCCCAACAAGGCAAGATCAAAGAGAAGACGTATGGCAAGCAGAAGATATACTTTGCGGACCAGGTGAGGGAAACCTGTGCAGATTAGCACCTGTGTGACAGCACGGCATTAGGTGGATCCGTCCCTAGTATGAACTTTCTTTGGGAGAATTGAGGCATCCCGTGGAATTCACCATTGAAAGGGCCCGAGCCAAACTTGAATTCTAAGTATGTACTCCCCTTACTGTGATCCAAACTTCATGAGATTTCCAGACTTGAAATATGATAGATTTACAATAGAAATATGACAGAAGATCCCAAATTGTTGCTATCGAGACCCATTTACACTTGGAAGTTATTTCGAATCATCTAGATGAGAACCACCATCTGCCAAATTATTTTCCTTCTGTCTCCTACGCCCTCCATAAACACACATTAACTTTGTGTATCTCCGGCCCAGACCTCCACTTGGATGCCTTTCAGACCCTTCAGAATCAGTATTGCCAAAGCAGAATAGCTCATCTCTTCCCCTAAACTGGCTCCTCTTGCATTCTTTTCCCTTGTGGTATCACTCTTTCCCCAGGCCAGAGACTGAGGAGTTGTTCTTAATTTCCCTTACTTCACATACCTAGTCAGCCATCAAGTCCGGCTGTTTCTCCCATTCTTGACTGTCCTCTCCTTTCCATATGTCACTGCTCTAGTTCAGGTGTTCCTCATCTATTGCAGTAGCCTCCTAACTGATCTCCTGGCCTTGTCAAACACATCTTAAACATTGAAGCCAGAATGATCTATGTACATGCAAATCTAGCCTTGCCGTTTCCCTACTGAAAACTCTGGTGCTCCCTAGAACAGATAAAAAGTACCTGGAGATTTGGCCCCAGCTTGCCTCTAGCCTCCTCATCCTTATTATTTCTCCACCCATCAATATTAGACCATTTAGATGTGTTTTACTCTTGTGTCCTTTGCCCATTGTGTTTCCTCTGCTCAGAGGTTTTTTTCTTTTTAATATATTTTACAATATCACATTAAAAAAATTTGTTTTGAGGGAAGTAATTAGGTTTATTTACTTAATGGAGGTTCTGGGGATTGAACCCAGGATCTCCTGCATGCTAAGCATGCACCCTACCAATTGAGCTATACCCTCCCCACTACAATGTCACATTTTAAAAATTGAAGTATAGTTGATGTACAATATTATGTTACAGGTATACAATATAGTGATTCACAAATTTTTAAAGGTTATATTCCATTTATAGTTACAATAAAATATTGGTTATATTCCCCATGTTGTACAATAAATCCTTATAGCTTATTTTATACCTGA